TCTCTTAGCTTGGCTGGCCACTTGACAAAAGGTTTGTCTTTTATTTCGCTCAGAATCCGATATATTGGTTTTTTGAACACCGTTGTTATGGCAGTGCGGATTCTCAACCATCTTTTGTCTGGGTCTTCTCCGTTATCTCGTCTGCCACGTCCGTTTCTGTTCTTGAGCCGAAGTAAATTGACCTTCGTTGAGGTTTTCTTTTCTGGTACTGCGGTCGCACCAGATTTTGCTTTGGCACGTGCGCCATCCTCTTCTACCCTGATGTGCTGATGCACTCTCTCCATCAGGGCTTCCATGGTAAGGGGTGGCGTCATGGTGATCGAGTCCCTCAGTCTGTTCCCAACTGGAAAGCCTCTTTTATATTGTGCAATGGCGAGATTGGTGGGGCAGTCCCCTATCTGATTGAATGTCTCCCAGTAGTGACTGTTGTAAGATCTGAGGGTCTCTTTTTCCCCCATGTCGATGGAGAGTAACTGGTCGATCTCCACCGGTGTTTTAGTGTTTGTTCGAAACCTTGTTACGAATGCTTCTACCAATTGAGCCCAGGAGGCTATGCTGCCCTCTGGAAGTTTCTCGAACCAAGTCAAGCCTAGGTCGCCAAGGCTTGAGGGGAAGAGTATGCACATTAAGGCCTCGTTTCGCCTGTATACGACCATGACTTGGCGAAAGTGGCTCAAGTGCGAATACGGGTCCGTCTTCCCTTCATATGTAGTGAATTTGGGTTGAAGGAAGCCTGATGGTAGGGGAGCGTTTTCAATCGCCGAAACAAATGGCGAAGTCTGCAGCCTTGCCAATGCTTTGTCTGTTGGTTCATAGGCAGGGCGCGGCGCTGGCATTCCAACCTCGACGCTTCCATGCGTCCGAGGAGCCAACCGTTGTAAGGCAGAAACTCTGTGTGGATCCCTTGCCCTGGTATCCTCCTTGCATCGTGTTTTTTCTTCGAGCACGGTTCGTAAGTCGGATGACCTGGGTAACTCCGTCTGTCTAGATCTGGTTTGGTGCGAATGTGAGGGCCAATATATGCTTCCTTCAGTGTATGATCTCTCAGATCTCGTCCTCTCAGACCTGGAGTGACGAGTTCTAGAAGATAAGGAATGAGTGTCGCCTGTCCTGAGGCTTCTGCTCTCTCCTTGTGAGGGTGTGGTATTTCTACCATGACTTTCTGAGTGGCGAGGAGGCGTCTTGTGTTTGCGCCCCTCTCCTGTCGCCATTTCTTTTATCTTCATCTGGCATTTCAAGGCCTTCATGTCCGCCGCCGTCTTTCTTATCAATTCATCTTGTTCCTTCACGCGGTCTTCCAGGGCTTGAGGATCAATGCTCCTCCTTTGTCTGTCAGGACTTTGTGAACGAGAGTGACGGGGGCTGTTAGTTGGTCTTCCCCTACCATCCCTCCTGGAGCTATGTCGTTGGGGTTCCAAGTCCGCCATGGGAGGGACAGAGGGTAATCCTTCACGTCTTGCGCCCCCATCCGGAGTTAGCCCGTCGACGGCGGACTGCGGCAATTCCTCAATGTGTGCCATTGATTGAGAAAAGGAGAAGCTTAGTCAAGAAGTTTTGTTCTGTCTGTTCTTCCCACAGACGGCGCCAATTGTACGGGAAAGAAATACACCTTCTCGTATAATCTTGTTGACTAAATCCACGCTCCTCCATACGACGTCGCTTTATCACCTGAAAATACAAACGTGAGCTAGCCGGCGGGTGTGTGCTGGAAACCTCTCCAATGCCTAAGTCAGTAAACTTGACAAATAGACAAAGCTCTATGTACTTAGAAAGCAAAGTTGTGTGTTACCTCCTCCAAGGTGATGTTTGTGAGCTTTTTATAAGTTTCAAGTGGCACAATCCTAGTAGGATTTCTATTCCTCCATGCAGAGTCCTCCTAGGATTCATACTCCTAAGGATAATGCTTATCCTTTTACACCCCCCTCACTGCTTAAACCAAGTGAGATGGTTTTTACCTCGGTTGGATGACCATACTACCGAGATAACCCTGGCTATACTGAGCCACAGAGTAGGCCGTACTAACAGTAGTTCGGTTCTTCCTCTTGCTGCACCATATCTCGGTTCTCTCATGCACGAACCATGGTGTGTTTGGACCGATCTACCAAATAGCAACATTCCGACCGACCTACCCAGAATACATCATGACCGGACTATCTCTGCGACCGGCCTAACTCCAAGTTACCTCCGGACCGGAGTAGCTTTACATCATCTTGGGCCGAAGTAACTTTACCTCTCTTGGGCCAGAGTAACTATATCTCTCTTGGGCCGGAGTCACTATATCTTTCTTGGGCCGGAGTAACATTAAGGCCTTTTTACACTGTCCTTCGTACTTTGGGCCCACAAAGTCCATCTCACAGCTCGGCCCAATTTTCACCAAAAATTACCCTCTCACGGGGCATAACTATATCATGCCAATTTTATGATTCACAAGACCAAAAAGAAAAGGGGGAAGGGGGAGGGAAGGTAATACTTTAGCAAATATGAGCTTCAAAGTTGCACCTCAGTCTCTTGTGTGCTTTTGTAAGTTGAGCTCGCATCATCCTCAATTGGTTGGATAATTCTTGTCCATAACAATTTAAATAAAAGATGTTAAAAAAGAAGTTCACTAGGATTCTAACAATGAATAAGAACTCAAATTCAAAACATTACGGTGACAACAGTGACAAAGGGCTAACCTCAATTGATTGAGTGCTGTGAAAAAAAAAAAAAAAAAAATAAATTAGTTCTTTCATGAGGGTTAATCCCTTAAGATTTAAAAGATTCATCAAAATAAACACAAACCTTGAACCCAAAAAGTCTTGTATATTTACATCATGGTCCAACTTCTTAAAGGTTTTCTTCAGTGCCTATATTCTCAAATAGAACACCAAAAGGATTGAATGAATATGATATGTTTATCATTTCATATTTAATGAAAACAGAGAAAGAAAGAATGAATTGGTGTACTAGAGAACGGGCAGTATTAATCTTACTTCAAGGCTCTCCAACTTCCTGGTCGTTCAAATAAAAATTATTTACTGACATTGTGACAAATGCAGTTCAAATTTAACCCAAAAAGAAAAAAAAAGAAAAACAACTCTTCATCCTCATAGATTTAAAGCATATATGTACCGACCTTTTTGTCCTTTCTTGTGGTGTCAATTGAGCGAATTTTGTAATAACCTTTTCAATGTTGCTGAACAAAAAAACACATGATTTCAAGAAATGATAAATGGTGCACATAAATCCAAGTGAATTTTGTTTAATTTGTCATGCCATAAATCAAGTTTCACAAACATTTTTATATAGGCACAATTGGAGACTTGAAAATACCTACACTCTCCGCGGAATAATGTTGCCTTTCCAGTTGGAGAAAACATGAGAAGGACAGTGTCAATGTCACATAATATGGATAATTCTTTAGCTTTCTTCAAGATTCCATTCCTTCTTCTCGAATAGGTCACTTGTTGATTGCTAGTGCTCTCTAATCTCTTTATCTTTAACTTAACCCTCCCCATATTGTAAACAAATGAGAAAGCCCCATAAAACACCAATGTCGCTGATGCATCTATGTTTGGCCAATCCTAACCTACTTCAATTCTCCAAGCCAAACACTTGTCTAACAATAGAATGAATTAATTCTAAGAAGCTCCAAAATGACCATGAACACAAAGGGCTAAGATAAATTTTTTATCAACAATAAAAATTGGTCAAAAATTATGAGACCTTAAAATGATTCAATTGTGTTGTAAGTTGTAACTGTTCACCATTATTCTCTGTTGCCACAAGAACAGAACAGAACCTAATTCTAACTTTAAATTATTTTTTTTTTCTTTTTTAAAATGATAATTGGAAACTCAAAACCAATTGGAAAGTGAGTGAATTTGGTGGTACCCAAAAAAAGAAATTATAGAAAAGAGCTAAATAAAGAATACCCAAGTGAAGATTTCAAGTTTTGAACAGATTCAAAACTGTGAAATCCCTGGAATGTATAACTCAGAACAAAAAGATAGATATAACGAAACAAAACTTTGAGAAAGGCTTAAAAAAAGTAAAAACCCATATGACGAAATGGGTTCAAAGAGAAGAGGAAAGTGGAGAGAGAAATTAGTAGAGAGAGAGAGGGAGGGAGGGAGGAGATGAGAGATTACGATTGGATGATAGGCTATGCGGTGATTGAGGCTGGAGAACCTGTGAGCTGTCAAAAATTTCACAAAATACCTCGTACAAAACAGGGAGGGATAACAAAATCAATCAATTATATTAGGGGAAAACTATGGTATAAAGAAGAATGCTAACCCAACACAGCAAAAAAACAAAAACAACCATAAGCCGCGTTCGAAGGAGGAGAGAGAAACAACATAATCAACGACAACAACTCGAAATTACCTTGTGATTTCGAAGGAAGCAGCGTCGGTACAACAGCGACTGAATACAAATCTTACCCTTTGCGAGTTGTAAATTGAAATCCGAAGGGTTGTAAGGGATGTAAGGGAACAGAGAGTGGGTTTTTCTAGGTAGCGTTTTTTGGCTCTGCTCAAAAAGAACAGAGAGTGAGAGAGAGATAGGGATTTTTCGGTTCTGTTCAAGATGAAGATGAAGGCCTAGAAGAAAAAGGGGTGTTCATAGAGAGATTGAAACCTTCCTTTGATTTCAGATTCACAGTCGAAGAGATAAGATGAGCCTAGTAACCCTCAGCAATTCATTCGACCTTCATCATCAGAGAGAGCGAGAGAGAGATAGCTATGTCCCCTTTCTATCTGGGCGAATTAGAAGGCAAAAAGTTATTTCTGTAAAACCCCAAAATTTTAATATATATGTATATATATTTTTTGTGATTGGCGCTCAAATTTTAATTTTGACGCCTATTTTTATTTTAGTCATACTATTCACGACAGAAATTACGTGTCATGAAAAATAAAAAAATTTCACGGCCAGCATATGCGCGTCATAGAAAGTGTACTTTTTAACGGATGACTTTTTATGCGCCGTAAAAAGTGTAATATTTTAAACGGCTGGTATACGCGTGTCGTACATATGCACGTCGTAAAAAGTTTTATTATTTATGGCTAACATTGCAAGCTGTAAAAAAATCAACATTATTAGCATTCACGACCTACGCAATAGACACGCCGTGGTTGGGAAATTATTTACAACATGCAAAAAAAACAAGTCGTAAAAGTGAGAAACTACGGCTTGCATTTAGTGTATGTCGTTAATGTGGAGCCGTAAAAACTCAGTTTTGTTGTAGTGTATACAAGTATAATTCAACTCTGTCATATAATAAGTCTAAGTTATTTGTTATGTTTTAATCAGAAATATCGCCAACTTAGTTCAACTCTATTATATGCAAGTATAATCCAACTCTATCATATAATAAGTCTAAGTTATTCATTATATTTCAATCAGAAATATCGCCAATGCAAGTATAATTCAACTCTGTCATATAATAAGTCTAAGTTATTCGTCATGTTTCAATCAAAAACATCGCCTAAGGACTGGTCAATCGTTTTGCACAAGTTTGAAATTAAAAATCGAGCTAAAATTTTATTTATTACTTTGCTAATCAAAAACTTAAAAAAAAACAAAAAGAAATCTAATGATAGAAAAACTTCAGGTTGCAAGTATTCTAGGGTCTTGGCAACTCTTTGCCTTCACTGTCTTCAAGCCGATATGCCCCATTGCCTAAGACCGAGATGATTCTATAAGGTCTCTCCCAATTTGAGCCAAGCTTGCCCTCTCTAGGATCCTTTTTGTTGCCGACAACCTTTCTCAGGACAAGGTCACCAATTTGAAACTCTCATGGGTTGACCTTCTTATTGTAAGCCCTAGAAAGCTGCTGCTGGTATGCCCCCAGCTGAATTGCTACTTTCTCCCTTCTTTCTTCCAATAGGTCTAGATCTCGAGCTAAAAATATATCATTAATCCCATTTTTCCCTCCCTGGGTTCTGACCCCTGGGATGCTGACTTCTAATGGGATTACTACCTCTGTGCCATAAGCCATGGCAAATGGGGATTCCCTAGTTGATCTTCTCGGCGTAGTCCGATATGCGCAAAGTACATTGGACAACTCATCCACCCACTTTCCCTTTGCTGCTTCCAGCCTCTTCTTGATCCTATCCAAGATAACCTTATTAGATGTTTCTGCTTGACTATTACTCTGAGAGAAACTTGGAGAAGAGTAATAATTCTTGAATTATTACTTTGCACAGAAGCTTTTGATCGCTGTCAAACTGTGTTCCATTGTCTGCTATTATTGCCCTCGGGATCCTAAACCTGGTGATGATGTTCTTCCATATGAAGCTCTTCATATCAATATCTTGAATCTTTGCAAGGGGTTCAGCTTTTACCCACTTAGTGAAGTAATCTGTTGCCACTAGCAGGAACTTCCTTTGTCCAGTTGCTTGAGGCAGTTGTCCAACAAGATCTATGCCCCATTGGGCAAATGGCCAAAGGCTGGACACTGGGTTCAAATCTGTCGCCGGTTGGTGTATCAAGGGTGCAAACCTCTGCACTTCTCACATTTTCTGACATAAGCTTCAGCAGCTTTCTGCATGTAGGGCCACCAGTACCCCTGAGTAATGGTCCTATGAGCAAGTGACTTGCCCCCAGTGTGGCTTCTATATACTCCTTCATGTATTTCATACAGGAACTCCTTAACTTGTGAAGGATGTACACATCTCAAAAGGGGTCCAGTAAAAGATCTTCTGTAGAGATATTCTTCTGCTGTTAGACTGAATCTTGTCAACTTCAGTCTGATCTTGTGTGCTTCTTTATGATCATCTGGTAGTTTCCCATCTCTAAGGAATACGATTATCGCATCCATCCAGCTTGGTCCCATCTCCACGCACATTGCTTCATGCTCTGTGTTTGGTGGTTCTACACTTGGACCTGACAAGTAGTCAACCATTATTGTCCTTGTCTCTCCTAGTTTCATTGCACTAGCCAGGTTGGCCAAGGCATCAGCATGGTTGTTGTCATCTTGGCTAACTTGCTGTAGTCGGCAATTTTGGAATAATGATATCAGTCTGCCCACTTCTTTTGCATAAGCCATCATTCTTTCATCTCGGGCTGCGTATTCGTCCGTTGCCTGGTTGATGATAAGCTGAGAGTCACAAAAGACCATTACCTCGTCGGCTTCCATTACTGCTGCCAACTTTAATCCTGCGATTAGTGCTTCATACTCTGCTTCGTTGTTTGAGATCTTAAACCCCAAATGAATAGATTGTTCCAACATTTGCCCATCCGACGATACTAGCACTACTTCTGCCCCCGTTCCTTGTCGGTTTGAACTTCCATCAACAAACAGACGGAAGGAGTCGCCGATGTAAATACTACAGAGCCTAAGTTTCTCTTCTTTCCCCTATTCTGCTATCCCCAACTGGGTTTCTCCTTGTTCACCTGGACATCGTATACCCCGGCTCAATGGAGCCCGATGTGTGATGGCGCCTGGTGCGAAATCGGTCACGAAATCAGCCAAAGCTTGGCCTTTGATTGTTGTTCTGGGTCTGAATTCCAGGTCATATTGGCCCAACACCATTGCCCATCTGGCTATCCTGCGTGTCAGATCTCCTTGCTGCAACAAGGACTTCAAAGGATGCTCAGTTAACACCACAATCTTGTAGGCTTGAAAGTAATGATTCAGCTTCTTTGAGGCCATTACTAAGGCCTCATTTCGGAATAGGCTAATTTAGTAACTTTTTGGCTATTTGGCTAAAATATGAGCTAAAAAAAACTAGTGTGGATGACTTTTTGGCTTTTTACGAAAAGATGTGCAAAAAGTAGAGAAAAAAAAGAATCTTTGACTTTTTGGTATGGGTTGTTGACTTTTTAGCTAAAAGGAAGGGTTCCCAAACGAGGCCTAAAGCTAGTGTCAGCTTCTCCAAGGGTAGGTATCTGGTCTCTGCATATGCTAGGGTTTTACTCACGTAGTAAACTGCCCTTTGTTCTCCCTTTTCTTCTCTGATTACCACTGCACTCACTACATGCTTTGAAACAGCCAAGTATAAGAGTAGCTCCTCTTCAGGTACTGGATTTGAGAGAACTGGAGTGGTGGTCAAGTATTTCTTCAAGTCGGCCAAGGTGACTTCGCACTTTTCTGTCCATAAGAAATATGTGGCTTTTTTCACTAAACTGAAGAAAGGTTTACATTTGTCAGCACTTCTGCTTATGAATCTATTTAGGGTTACAGCCCTT